GGAGGTAAGATCAATATTATGGATTCCAGTAAAAAAAGGTTATGATTTTATATTCCTGATGACAACCATGATAGTGATGAAACTATAATCTCACTCAAGCAACTGATGAATGAAATGATAACACACTTGATGGCATAATCACGGCGATAACTCACTGAGTGACTCATCTTTGGATGATAGAGCCGAATGCCTAGAGATTTAAAAATGTCTGAATGAAACTTGCCTACTAAACATATGAATAATGATACAGTGGTAGTTTGAGCAACTGAATAGTTATAAAGTAATATTAGAGTGATGGTCAGAATACTTGACTGATAAAAGTAACATTTACTGTGCAGCATTTTTGAACTGCTCAGTGTTTGAAATGATCATAGCTTTTCAAAACAGTAAAGTTTGACAATCATGCATTCGATAAGTAATCAGGCATCAACATCACTTTAGTTGTTGAAAGATTGGTAAACGCTGACAAAATTGTGGGGCCTTGAACCTTTGGTCCTAATCCAAGTGGCCTCCGGGTTACTTAAGTTTGAAAACATCAGTTGTCAGCATATATATTAACTGGAAGAGTAGCTGACGTCAGTGTAGTTATTCTGTGTCAGAGGCTTTTAGACGGACCAATAGGCAATCATGTCTAAAAGGGTCTTTTTTATTCCTGTGTTGGACTGCATATACAGTTCAGTCATTTCTGTAAATGATCAAATATCAATAATATGTATTAATGAGGAGAAAAGGAAAAAAATGTCAAAAGCAGCTAAAGTTACTGTCTGCCACATGTAGGGACATTTATTTTCAGAATACCTACAGTGCAGTGCTTTTATACTCTGATGTTTAGACTTTAATCCATTGCTGTCTTTCATGAACTAGCACATTTTTTACATGACTTCTGCAGTTTGCTCTAATCTTGTATGAGCTTTCAGTATCATGTTGTGTTAGATCTCTCTATATAAGTATTTTGGTAGAAACAGAGCAAAAAAGAGTTAAAATGTTAAAACTGCTACCATACTAAAGTAAGAATAAGCTGAAGCTAAGGAACTGATTTGCCTAACTCTCTTCAGGCTATTCTGAAGGTGAGAAAGTTATGCGGGAAAGACATTAAGTATGCAACTTTTCCAAATGGAAAGTGGGGGCCCCTTAAACCTTGCCCAGTATGTGTATGTGTGTGTATAGTGAGGAATGTGGCTCTGTTATCCCCACTTCGTGCACTCTCCATGGCTTCTCTCCCAAGGCTCTTTCCCTGTGACATGTTTTTCTGTTTTCCTAGCCTGGCTCTTGATAGCCAGAATAAGAGCTCCAGTGTTTCTGTAGCCTGTTGAACGTGCGTCGCCAGAGGCAGCGGCGAACCGGGTGGGGTGTGTGCGGGGGTGAAAATGCAACCGTTGTTCTGCAGTAGAGATGATGAAAACGTGGCCTTGGGATGCTAGGGCTTTTCCTCTTTAGTGGGATTGCACAGGAAAAGGGGGCCCCGCTCTGGTCAGGTCACTTCACTTCCCACTGCAAATGGAAAAGGGGGGGCGACCACACGCCGTTGGAATTTGAAGGAAATTTGCTCTATATGTGAGTGAGAATGAGAGCTGAAAGGCTCGAGGCCCTATGTATAGAGAGAAGGGGGGGTCTTCTTTTGCATTTGCTTCGATGGGTCTTCCCTGGAAAGAAAAGCAGGGGCTCCCCCCTTGACGCAGCCCTTTTAAAAACAGCCACTTCAAGCCAACTTGCTGTCTAGGAATGCTCCTCTCATTGCTGCTGGCCTTGCGTCATTTGTCACATACTTTTTGTTTCTGGCATTAACCCTTGGGGACTGCTCAGTTTTCCATGTTCCATGTGGGAAAAGCACAAGTGACGCCATCATCTTGAACATGCATACCATTGCTAAAATTCAAAATCTTGCTATATAAGGTTCTGACAACTGTCTTTTTACTGACGGTTTCAGTGTACTGTACGCACTAAAATTAGTTTTGTACTTCACTATTTCGATCTGAATAAAATGTGTGGCCAGGCCCATATGGGACCTTACGCTGAAGGCCAGATGGTATGAATCAAGACTTGCGCGTACTTCTCATGTGGTGTTAGGTTTCAACTGTGCAGTTCATTATCTGTGCTGAACCTGACCGAGGATCCCTAAACTGCAGTCTTTGATCCCGTCATGGCTAAACCATTCGGACTGCCGGTTAATGCATGACAGGTGTACCGTACTGAAACCAACCATGAGAGTGACTAAGAGCTTATCATCGTAGCCCAAACCTAAGCCTTTATGTGCTACTCAATGTAGCAGATCACCCGTGTCACTAGGAAACCTACAGTATCCAAATTTTTATAGTTATGATTCTTCCTTTACATACTTTGAACTTGTTTGTTGAAGACTGTTTTCTTTAAAAAGCATATATACTGTGCAAAAGTCAGACATGAGAGACCACCATTCACTGAATTTGTACTTTGTAATTGTAATTAGAAAGAAGTTATTCATTTTTCAGGAGATATTTCTGAGGACATGAGATATAAGATAATCCACTGGCATAAGGAAGGGGAAAGTTAAAGGAAAACAAGTGAAAAAACAGGAGTTTCCATAAATGGAGTTCAAAAAATTATTAAAAGTTAGGCCATAGAGAAAATGGGGCTCTTAACAACCGTGCCAGACCTGGTAGGCCACCAAGACTGCCACCATCAGAGATCATCTTTGAGAGATAGGAGAAAAACAAAGCTTCACTCTTGATCTGGAGAAATCCACAGGTGTTTCTGTCCATCCTTCCACTGTGGGAAGACAAATCAATGGGATGGGTCTGAAAGGATGTGTAGCTGACAAGAAGCTGTTACTGAGAAAAGGAAACAGATGACAGAAGTCCATACCTCAACATCATTGAATTCTGAGAATTAGCAAAATGCAACCAACTTCTAAAACTGAACTTTTGAGGTGTAAAAAATATCCCTCCAGATTCTTTAGTAAATATAAAGGATGGACACATTAAAAGAATATCTTGTACTTAATGGCTGATTTAAATGGAAGTTATATAAGTGAAGGGTGGTCTCTGACTTTTGCACAGTGCTATATCTGTTGAATAGGTTTTGTAATCGAAATGCCCAACAATGGGAACCCGCCCCCCATATCTTCTCCCCTAAAGTTACTATTTTAGAAAAAGCATTTTCCCCAACAATAATTGTTATATATAACAGTATTATAACAATATTATATATATCATATAATTTCAATTCATATAAATACATTCTGTACAATGTGGTCTTCTGTAGGGAAGATGTGAATAAGGACATAGGAATGTAGAGACATCAGCAGAATCACAGATAACACGCATTACTAGGAACAGATACGAGACTGCCTAGGAACGGATGTTTTCCTCTGAATAAAGGATTAACAACCCGGGGGAATAATCACTCTTCTTTTGATCATCGATGGTGAGCACGATGCTGCTGTTGAGCTTGACCTAGAGTCTTTTCCCTGTTAATGAGGCATCACTTATCACATTTCCACTTAAATTGCATTGCTGGCAGAATTTTATGGTCAGCACACCGAGCTAAATATAACCAGCAGAGTTAAATAAGGGCATGAAGCAAGCCAGGAAAGCCCAGTGTAACAGAATCCAGTCTGTCAGCCGCGCTCCTAAACCTGATAAAGTACATTGTCTAAAAACAAAAATATAACAGTGACTGTGTAAGGGAAACTATTTGCGAGTGACACAGTGCCTTCTGGAATGTTCCGCATATCTCCTGCATAGAAAAAAGTACAGTATGGTCTCGGCTTAGCAGAAACGAATCCCAACACGTTCCAAAAAAAGGTGCATGACCAGCGTCTTCTGCCATACTTTGTTCGCTTTTTAGGGTGATGATTGCTCCTTTAGCAAAAGATGTAATTAGTGTCTTAAAAGGTGTGATGTAACTTTAGTGTACACAAAAGTCAGATACATTTTAGGAAGATTCTAGATAAACATAGACACATAAACCTAAGCATACACATAAACCAAAGACATACACTGAGATAAAGCAAGTGTTTCTGCTCAACTGCCTTGCGTAAAAACCAGTGTTTCATAAGTGTCCTTATCAGTATTACCCATCTTTGGGAGTTGTATACTGGGTTTGTTGAGGAGGTTGCCCACCATGTGTGGCAACGTTATGAATGAACCTTGTTTACCATTGGGCTGCTCATGTGACCAGCACTCCCACACCCATTAGCTGGGCGTCTCCATGGTAGCACTCTTCAACAGAGTTCACGGTGCATTCTGACACTGAATGAGACACTCCTGAAATGGAGACCGTTGAACGCGTCTTTACGGGCTTTTTTTTGTCAAACTTTGTCTTATTTTGGCTGTGATGTCTGTCTTGAAACTGCAAGCTCCTCTGTACAGAAAGGTCTTTTTAAAGCCCGCTTGAGCAAAAAATAACCTGGCGCGGATAGCTGAGCAGAGAGATCAGACAAAGCCTCATGTTGAGGGCTGACCTGCTTCTATTATTGTACTCGCAATGGTCTAGTGAACTACATTGTGAGAACGCTCCCTCAGCAAGTAAACAGGGTTGCCCTTGTCTGGAGCTCGGTTTGTGGGGCAGTGCTGACCTCTGGCGGCCAGCATGCAGAACTGTTGGCTGACTTTAGTTTATTAAAGAGCAGTAGATATCAGTCTTAGTCCCCATGCTCCTTAGTACTTATATTAGTCTTCCAGTCTTAGTCCCCATGTTCCTCCTCTGGCACCCTTTATTCAAGTCATCATGTGACTTCACAGGTGCATTAAGGCATAAGTACATGTTTCAATGACCATCTACTGCTTGAGACTTACTCTGATTGATCCTTGAGGGCCACAGAGCTGTGCAGTTTGGCACTTAAAATGCTTTCCAACTTCTGATTCAACTCATCATCTAATTACTAAGCTCCTTTATTAACTGCATCAGCTGTCAGACTGTGCATTGCTGTTGCCCTCCAGAACCAGACTTTGCATCAGTTCAAATTTACAGTGAGTTTTTGTCCCTCATGCATTAATGAATCCTCTCCATTCTTTTCACAGGCATTTCTTAGAGCTTCTGACCAGCTGCTTGCATGCAGGGTATGACGACTCATTTTAAACCCAGCAAAGCTTTAAAGGTAAGCTTTGTTTTCAGTGTTCATTCAGTGTTGTGGGACATTTTCCCAGGCCCAGATTAAGCCTAAGTATAAAAAGGATTTTTGTTTAAAAAAAAGAAAAAAAAAAACAAAAAAAACACACACTTGCAATAATGGTGTATTTAAGCTATGGTATTACAGTTTGCTCCAAGCCTCAGCTTAAGCTTTGTCTGGGACTCTGTCCCTACAAGCAATATGTTTAGAGTCATAGCATTTTATACTCTGTTGCAGGTAAAGAAGGAGGCGGGTGAGAATGCGCCGGCGCTCAGCGACGATGAGCTGGTGGCCATGTCGGTGCGGGAGCTGAACCAGCACCTGCGCGGCCTTACCAAGGAGGACGTGGTGCGACTGAAGCAGCGGCGGCGCACGCTGAAGAACCGTGGCTATGCTGCCAGCTGCCGCATCAAACGCGTCACGCAGAAGGAGGAGCTGGAACGACAGAAGACGGAGCTGCAGCAGGAGGTGGACAAGCTGGCCCGGGAGAACGCCAGTATGCGGCTGGAGCTGGATGCTCTGCGTGCCAAGTACGAGGCGCTGCAGTGCTTCGCCCGGACTGTGGCCCGCGGGCCACTCTCACCGGGAAAGGTGGCCGCCACCACCAGCGTCATCACCATCGTCAAGTCGAACAACCACAGCCCCAGCTCCCCGCCGTTCTCCGCGCCATCATAGGAGGACGGGAGGAATGCAGGACGGTCCATCTGGTCCAGCCCGGTTTTCCAAACCCCTGGCCTGGCCTGGCCTGCATCCACCCGACCCGCGACTGAGAAGGACACTCAGTGACTAGACTTGAGGGGGTGGGGTGGGGGAAGGGAGGCTGACTCTGTGTGACAGTAGACTGCATTGACTTCTCTTTCTCTCTCTTCGTTTCTCTGTCTCTCCCTCACACACACACACACACACACACACACACACCTTTCTACGTTGTCTGTGCACTGTGCTCTAAAAACCTCCGGCACCGGCAGGGCACACTGGCCTCTTCCTCTCTCTCTACCCAGACTGAGACTTAGCAGAAATGAGACTTGCTGAAAGTGGGACTAAGTACTTGATTTAACCTGCCATGGCAGTCTGTGATAGCTCTGATGCCTGTGGTATCTTGCATTTTACATCAGAGAGTAAAGATATATTAGCATTGTAGAACGTTCACTATACTATATTCTTGTTGATATCATGCTTGTTTTTCTAAGTAGTTTGAAACATTGCATGTTGCCTCCGTTGGCAACAGTTTAATGGGCACAGATTCTAACAGCTTTTCATCTGAACTTTTATATTGCCGTCCATATGTGAAGACAAAACATGGTTTCATCACTGAAATTAGGACCCATAATCTGCTTCATACTTAAGGGATATCAGATACCGTTGAAAAACTGGTGAAGAGTAGAAACTAGAACAGGGAAGTTCTAGCCATTGCAAGCCATGTGGTTAGTTGTAGAATAGTCCTGTACTTGATTCACAATTTAGACAACAAAGAAGCAAATAGAGTGAACTACAGGGAAAAACAGGCTAGTGGCTAATACTTAGCAATTTCAACACGTGAAATGTATGAATAGCACTTATTTTACTGTTAAATTACAGTTTAATACTACAAAAGCACTTGCAAAGTGGAGTTATGTATAGATATATAAGAATGAAATTCTAGACGCTTCTTGAATACAGACTACTTGTATAAGTCAATCACAAGATTAACCCTTCGTTGAACGTTATCCTCTGATAGCATTAGCTAAAGGGTACATTTAGTTGTCAGTTATCTTGAAAAAGATATGCACTCTCTTTCCCAGTTTTTTTCCTCACCAGCGCCATAATGAATGGTAGGTAATCCATATTGGATATAGAGATTATGGGAGCTGCCTTGGCAAAGTAATGCAAGTCCATTATTACCTGTATATTACAGAACTTAAGCTATGGCCTCATGAATGAAAATATCATCCAACTTCAATTTCACACAGAGAATTCCGTCCATGTAGAAAGCATTCCTACTGCTAGGTCACGAGAGGTGGCACTGCCGGTGTTGGTAATCCCTGATTAAACGTTTATAAATCGCAAATACTTTGAAATTTCGACACAGACTCTTGGGTAAAGACAATCCTGACGTTTTGACTTGAATTGAGGTATCATGTTTATTCAGTTTTCAGAAAATTATCTGACTCTCAGTGTCTTAGTGAAACGACTAGTCGTAAGTGAGAGTTGTTGTTGTCAGGATCTCTTACCCAAGTGACTATGACTTTTCCTTCTGCTCCATTTCCCTGTAGTGGAGAGCACCGGGGGAAGACTGTGCTGCTGTGTAGCTCGCTGCTAGCCTCGGCTCAGTGAGCTACTGCTGTGCTTTTAGCATACTTATGTTTTTTGTATCTTCTCTGATGTTTTATATATGTCCTTTTTATGTTCAAATGCTCATTCTCGTTTGTTGTTTTCTAATGTTTCTGTGTGATTTTTATCTCTGTATTTTACATGGTTTAGGGCATGACATGCATATCTTGGGAGTAGTGTGACTTTGTGACAGTCTGTTTAAGTTCAGTTTTACTCGATTGATTTCTTTCAGTTGTATAATCTTCTCTGAGACTTCAGACACAATAGCCATTCTCGCTTTAAAAACCCTGCTTGCAAATAAGCACATGTTTAATCAGTCAGTCAGCTCCTAAATCTAGCAGTGTTCATGGTGATCCAGTGCTTTGGGCTCACACAGATGCTTGTGCTATTTTTGTCACAATATGAATTGTAAAAGAAAATGCATAATTTCAGTATTCACAGGGTTGTAAGACATTGTTGTGGTTGGTTGTAAACCGACAGACAGCATTTCAAACTATGTGTCTACGGAATGCGTGGCCGCATTGACTAACAACATGCAGTTTTTTAAATGTAAATGTCACAGTTGCTGTGTTTGGCATATGTTGTAACCTCAGATGTGTTTTTCCCCCCGTTTTACTCTACTCATAGACCACAAAGGCATTCTGAAAAAGCCCAAAAATTCCCAGCCTCGTGCCCACTTTTCTCAGTTCCTGTTATGTGGAAGCCATTTATTAATTCCCCACAAACTCTTACTCTCATTTCCTCATTAGGGATTTCTGTCTAATTTGGTCATTTCCATTTGATTCAGATGTTTAAAGAAAACTGACAAAGCGGCTCTTTTCGTGCTTTTTACTGACATCTGGTGGTGATCTTTCAAAATGCTGTGAATAATGCTGGTGAATCCAAGCGACTGCCTCTCCCTGCTTTGACAACAGAGGCATTGTTTTTTCTCTAAAGGATCTCAGCTACCACCAAAAGTGATAGGCTACTTCATTTTTTTCTTTCAGAATACTAAACAAGTCCATACATTCTAGCAGGCAGATTATAATGTCCCCATTTGTTCTAATTGGGCCTTGTCACACTCAAACCAGGGCACATGCAGCTCTAAAATGGTGCCAGTGCTCTGTTGGCCAGTTTGGATGCTACTTCTTGCTGCACACACTCAAATCGCTGAGGGTGTAATCTGATGCTGAAGAAAGGACATTAGCCACCTGTGAACTCTGATGTCTCTGCACAAAAAAATGGCCTTGTCGTCTTCTGGACAAAGGTGTACTTTTCCATACCAGATTCCATTTGTAGTTCCTTCTCATTTCTCTCCTAACATAGTCCATGGTGAGCATAGCATCTTGACTAAGTGGGTACTTTTTGGTCGTTATATTCTGTGTATGCTGTGTGTGGCCTTTTAGGCTAAACAGGTTAAATTATTCTATATTTTACACATGACTATATCTATTTTTGAAAGTATAAGTATATATTATATATGCGCTCAGACAGTCCTTAAAGCTATTTACCATGAACGCACATAGGAATTTTAACCAATGCTCTTGAGCATACTTGCCTATAAAACAGAAAGGAACTTCTTGATAAGGTATGCTGCTCCAAATTATTATGTCGTAATTGTCAATGTTAAGGTTGAATGAACAGGTAATGGAGGAAGAAGTCATATTAACTGTAGTTAAAAGTAGAGTCTATAAGGAGCTTGAGCTTGGCATCATTTATGTACTGTAGAAAAGGCTGAGGTAGTGATTTGTTTTAATGGGCACCCGCAGACAAAAGTTTAGTTCTGGTAGGTTTGAGGCGTAAATCTAAACTGCTCTACATTCAACGGTGATTGTAAATACAGACAAGAAAGGCAGCAAACCTAGGCTTAGATTAATCCTACTATCATGATTTACATCATTAATCTGTTTGTATGTGTTACATTTGAACTTTGATATTTATTTTGATTTTCTTTTTTTTTATTTTCAACCTCTAAATTATTTTATTTACTTTTCAATGAACTACCCTCATGTACAAATAAAATGATTCTCTATTTTCCACTCTGGCTGAAAATAAGGAGGTAAATTATTCCTGTACATAGTATGCAGTGTCCATTTTGTACTTTTAAATAAAGCTTCCTCATTTAACCAGGTGTCAGTGATTGAAAATGACTAGATTATAATGTGGTACACTGGTGTTAATATTAGTTAAAAAATGAGATAGTAATAGGAATAAAACACAACCCTTTACAAATATCTACTATCCATTCTTTTATTCATGAGAAACTTTTATAAACATGACAATTTTAACAGTTAAAACCCACAAAATTATGAACATGCATTGCTTATTACTTAAAACTACCTAAGCTCAGGTGATTCATAGAATATAGCATATAATGTACAACGTTAAGTTACCATAGAACCTTAAATCTGCTTCTTTCACGAGCATCTATAAGGCTGTTATCATTGGCACAACAGAAGACAAGTTGCATAAATGAGCCCTGCTCCTAATACAACATGTATATTAAAAGTTCAAGACTGACTGAGACAGTTTGGATTGCCACAAATAATAAATGACATGTTAAGAGTTTGGAAGACCAGTTGAGAAATGAAAAGGTCTACTCCAATATACATTAGTAGGTTTAAAGGCTTTATAACTTAGTTCCATGGCTGATCCCCTGTAAAAGCTTTGCCAATTGTGATGAGGCACAGTTTGTGGTCATCATTGCATCAATATAACTTATTATTATTATTTAATATAACATTCTAAAATGGTTTAAAAGTCCTGCTGAGAAACAGATTATTAAACAAGCTTATGGCTTGTTAAAAACATACAATATTTTCAACTTCAGTTTACCTTAATTTAACTAAAATGAGTTAATTTGTGACTTTCTGTGACTTACTAAGTGAAAAATTAATGTGGGGAAAAACAAAACAGTGGATAGAACCAAATGCAAATCAACATGCTTAATTATACCCTATACATTCCCAAACATAATCTGTACAACCAACCAAATAATAATCTTATACAAATTATTTACAATTAAGAACGCAGGTCCATTTAAAGAACAAGATGCTGAAATTCCCTGATTCTCATCCAGTTTGCCATGCTTGGAGTGCATGGCAAGAAAATTAATGAGCTTCCCAGTCACTGCAAGTGGCGTGAAAGCCCTCCATTTTGTCCGTGATGTGAGAGATGTGAAGTGTTTCAAAGGGTCTAGGTAAACAGTTTGAAGTGTGCGCTCCAAAGCTGAGGTGTCTTTGAGAGACGGTTCCGTTTGTCAGGAGACCCCGGCGGAGGGCCCCTGGGCAAATACTTCAAACGGGCACATGCTTCCATACTCTGTGAAGGGTCAGTTCCAGCCAGAGTGAGCTGTGTGAACACCCAATCCATATCCCACCGTTTACATTTATCCACCATGCTGTTGTACAGCCAGGAGTCAGAGGGGCACGGATGAGCAACGTGACTAAACAGCGCAAAGTGGCCTCTTTTCCCTGCTGCTAACAGGGAAGTTATGAGCGTTAATTCTGTTAATCCCTTCATATTACTTAATAAAGTCATTTTCACTGGAATCGGGTGGATGACTATTATTAACATGCCTTCATTAGTGGGGGCTTAAGAAGACCCAGATCAATTTAGGATTAAGTAATCTGAAGCAGAGCACACAGATCATGCCAGTCTGAAATATTTCAGTCTGAGTTTCTGAGTCTGTTCTGCATGAAAACCGCAAGCTCCCATTCCCAAATACTCACTGCGGACTGCTCTCTAGAACTCGTCGTCCGTGTCGATCAGAGTGATTTTGTCAGACTTCTTTGGGCTCTTGGTGACGCTGGGGCCGAGCTTTCCATTCTGGGTGGGCTGCACCACCTCCTGGGTGGACTGCTGTGTGTACTGCTGGTAGGCTGGGGAGAAGTTGTGGATGGCATCCTGGACCATGTCTCCAGGGTTGATTGTCTCCTTCAGTCCACTGGAGATGCTGTGCATGGGGGCAATGTTATCTAGAAGAGTAAAAGAATGGAATTACTGTGCTGTCTTATAGAGAGGAGGGTATTTGTTCAGTCATTCACATCTCTGAGCATGAATGCTGATCTAATCCCAATAAATATGAGTATGTGGGAAGGTTGAAGCAGATTAATCATCAGTACTTTCACTCTGAGATGCTTTAAGAAAAGAGTCCTGCTTTCTGAAAAGAAAGAAACATGAGAGGGGATGAGAGAGACCCTCTAGGTATGGTGACAGGAAATATAAGAGAAATTCGAGAAATCAGAACAATGCAATAGCATATGACTTCAGGATGACCTGGAAACACAATGGAAAATGGTTCTCAATCCTGGTCCTGGTAAGCTTGTTATTGTTGTGCTCCAACACACCCAGTTTGACTTGCAAAAGGTTTGTTAATCAGCTGATCAATTGAATCAGGTGTGTTGGAACATATAAAAAATAAAAAAAAATAAAAAAACACAGGGTGGGGTTGACAACACTATACTGGAACAAATGTAGGTATGTAGAGTGAACAGACACTACTAAATATGCAGGAAATCATGGGTAAAATGTGGATTTATTTTTGTGGCCAAAAAAAACAAAAAATAAAATTTACCACATTTGACTCACTCTCCTTTCACTAATCATATTTTTGCTGAACATATTTTTTATGTATTTATCTTGGAAAGCTCATTCAGACAACACAGATCTGTATTTAATTAATTTGCATCAATTTATCAGGCCTTTTAGTGACTGTTTTAAGTAGCCCCTCCAGTAGTTACACAGATGTGTAGGTTGCTTGTATGAAGGTATCAATCTTGCTCAAATATTTGTTCAAATTATTTAGCAGAACAACAATGTGTTAGGGTGTTCCGTGTTCTGAAAATAATATACAAAGTCATAACATTTGCAAAATTTCCATTACAAAGAAATAAGGAATTCAATAGGCAACCAAAAAGTGAGGATTTCAAACTGGTACTGCTAGGTTACATAACCTCTGATTTTTAGATGATGTTTTTAAACATATCACTTGGCCCTATTACATAATCTCTCCATGTCACTAACATTCTGCTACGACTGCAACACTGCCATTATTTGCACTTTTGTGAGGATGTTCTGCCACAGGCCCTGCCAAGGTATGACCCAGCTGCTCTCAAACAGAAACTGGAACACACACACACACACACACACACACACACACACACACACACACGTATGTATGTATGTATGTATAACGTGCCAGTGTTCCCCGACATGGACACTGAATCACTCTTCTGCTTCCTTTCTTTAATACAGCTAGAGATGCCATGTTCAGTGACAGGAGAAAAACCCCTGACCTCGCTGCTCCTGTGCGCCGCTCTGCTGTGGATCTATAAAAAGAGGTTACTCAGTGGCACCTGATGTAGTGCTGCATGAGAAGCTTCATCTAACTGTGTCTACTGTTGCTGCTGATGGATGAGGGCTTAGAGAGAGGTTGCCAGGGGCTGCTGCAGAGGTGAAACCATCCATCTCTTCTTCTGCCCTCTAGTGGACAGCTGGCAGCTCTGCCTGGAGGGAGCCTTTAGCCTTCAGAGACTCATCTCTGCGGGGCTACTCTAGGTGACTGGTCCAGCCCATTGGAGTGAATGTTTGAGGGTCAGTGGGAGAGTATGATAAGTGCTGAGGGGCCAAAAGCTCTGGGTCAGCATGTTCTCCAGAGCTTCAGCTTGCAGCTGGTCTGCTGTGATAGGAAAGGATAGCCTAGAGCTGCGGTCGACCCCTTGAACCTCCACTGAGATCCAATTGTTCCCTCCTAACCTTTTTGCCCATCAGCTAAAGGTCATCAGCTCAGTGGTAGCATTTCCCCTTGGGTTACAGAGTTGGACAAGGTCTTGGATGCAACTGGCACAAAAGTGACATCGTATTCGGTGATAATTGAGGGTTCCCAGGCATTGAAATGACCAGTCACGGAAGCTCTTATATTAATTTGCCAACAGCATATTCCATCAGACGGTTCCTCAGTAACGTCTAAAGTACACAGAGTGACAGAAGACCACCCCCCGAGATTATGTATTGGCATTCAAACCCAGTCAGCCACAGCAGATGGAGTTGAAGGTTTGAGCTGTACTTCATGCAGACCTCATTGAATCATAATACAAATCTAACACAGTGTTTAACATTCTGCAACCACAATGTCATTAGCACTCAAATTGGAGAATATTAAATAGAAATTTTCTATGCAGCCTTGGAACTTGCATGCCGCCAAACAGCACTGATTCATTTCAAGCGAAGGTACTTCGAAGCCCTCTGTGAGATGAAGAAAAGGGGAGGTCTGCCAAAATGAAATGGAGATGAAAACGTTTGACGGTTTAAAAACCACTGAGCAATTCTTTCTTTTCCAGCATGTTTAAGCTCAGTCAGATGAAACTTTTTAAGGGGTAAAAAAAAATGAAATAAAAAAAAGAAACTGGCTGAAACACTATCAATTTCTCCTCCTCTGAAATAAAATGTTCTAATACCTCTAGCTGCGTCACAGGTCTCTGTTCCTCAGTAAACAGAGGTTGCTGAAAACTCTCTGGGCTCCAGATGAGAGCTGAACTTTTCTGACTTCTGCTGTCTACAGTCACCCCACTGAGACACATTATTCTGTGTCCATCTCCTCTGAAGCAGCCTGGAAAGCCCAACAAAGCCTCTTCAAAAGTGTGAACATAGTAGGGGAATTGGATGGTTAGACAGTGTACTAACCCGGAGCATGGCTCTTCTTTTGCTGGTATACATTGTATGTGAAGGCATAGCGCAGTGCAATGGCAGCAAAGAACATCTCAATGCAGGTGATAAAGTTCTGCCATCCAGCTGCCACAGTTCCAGCGCCCACCTTATGGCCGTCTATGAACAGTGCCTCAGGTATTACCCCACAGCGCTCCAGGATCGCTAGAACCATGCCTGAGGAAAAAGCAAGAAAAGATTCAATTGTAAAACAAACCTAACTACTAACTACACGTTTTAAAAATGTTTGCTATTCACACAAGAAAAATGCACCTAACTGCATTCGTTGTGACCCCTAGACACTTCCCAGCAGCAGGGCTCAACTTTGAATGCCAAAAGCAGCTCTTTTATCTGAACATCTACAAGTGATATGCTGCCCTTTTCACATTTTGATTGTTGAGAATTGTTCCTGCTAATTACTGATTACTTAAAACTGTTGCTTATAGTAAATAACTGTAGTGACAGCAATACCCTCCAACTTTTCAAACTCGGAGTGCCTAATAGCTTGTACATACTGTATTGTACAAAAGTCAGAGACGACCATAACAGCCATTAAGTACAAGTTATTTATTTTTCGGTGTCAGGAAAAAAAAGCAGACTTGCTTTGAGTTTTTCCAAGTAACCCCAAACATTTAATTATGCTGAGGTCTGGACTTTAGGGTGGTCAGTCCACTGTTCTAAAAACACAGACAGCTTCTTTATTTGATTTGCAAATTTTCTTTTTTATTGAAAGCTCTCTTTCAAAGATGGAAGCTTTAAGGACTGTTTCTCTGATGGTGACAGTTTTGGTGGTCTACCTGGTCTTGTCCAGTTCCAGTTGACTTTTATTTATTTTTGGGACTCTGTTCAGTACTGTATTTTCAAGACTTTAGTCATATTTGAACAGGTCAGCTTATATTTTGGCCTGAAGAGCAAGCTCGCTCTCTACTATGCTAAGCAAAAGCATAGCTCCAAAAATGAAATAGTTGCTGTATTTTATATGCCTTTGACATTGTTTATTGTCTCTTTCATTGATTTTAATTGAGCAATGAGGCTGGCTGTGTTACCAGAGTAAGGTACCTCCAATTTTTATAGGCATTTTTGGGCAATTTATTGGCCATGCAATGATCACTTCTTTTTTCTCTTCCTCCAAAACTAAGGCTTTGCTGTTATTACATTAAACAGCTGTGAAGTAAAAAGAAAATGGTAAACACAAAAGATAATTATATAGATATTGATTTTAATGCAATTTGAATCGACACTGTCCAAAAAACAAAAAAAAAGTAACACCATTTTTTTCCTGTTTTCCATTTTCTGACATAATTTCAGAAAATCAACTGCCCTTTACATTTTGTGAAAAATTCATGATGAATAGACCAATATAAACGCTCCAAGAATTGCTTGAAATAAGAACTATTTACAATAACTTATATTAAAAGTAAAGAAGGTTTTTGCCTTCTCCTAAAGCTGCCATTTTGGAGATAGTTGTTTTTCTTTGTACAGCGACGATATATTGATGCTGTAAGAATTTATGAATAAAATCAAATACATAACAATCTAACCCTCCATAAACAATGTATTGATGACTGATGACATTCTTATTGACAACCCACATGAGGTCAAAAGATGGTGATCTACACACTTGAGAAACGTTTTTTTTTTTTTATTCAAAATCACTGCCTACTGGGTTGGCTGGTGTCCTTTGACATGAGTATGACAAATATGGATCCTGAAGTGACCCACCTTGCCAGAAGGAGAGGAAGATGACTGATTTGATGGTGAGGAACTTGAGCACAGGTTCGTAGGGCCTCAAGAGATCACTGGTGGCAGAGTAGAAGAGGAAAAGGGCATAGAGAGCCAGACTCACAGAGACGTTGTAGATGATGGTAATGTAGAGATATCCTCCTGTCACACTAGAGGAAAACACACATGAGAAATGCTCACAAAATGTTTTGATTTGCTCTACTTGAAGACCCGACAACAATAATTTTGTAGTAATCAGATTTGGTTTACGACACTGAAATGTAAGTAGAAATGGAAAAGCGTAACTCACTTAAAATCTCCATCGTGATATTTGCCAAAGGCCTGCAGGAGGATAGTGATGAGGGACATGATCGGTTTCACGACACAGAACTGAAGGGTGGCCTAGATGACATCATCACAATGGAACAACATTAGGCACTGCATGCTCTTGGGCACAAACATAAATGTATGTAAAAAAAGAAAGTCCACAAACATAACTCTTCAGCATAAAACATTAGCAGATGGATATTTTAATGGAATGCTGGTACTCAGCTCTACTCCGTCTGTTATGTTCTCATTACTTTTCAGCAAATAAAGAGATTCGTAGAGTTGGAGATCATAACGACACAGTCTTAACTGCTCACATCCCATAACAAACTGTACACAATTAGGCAGGATGTCTTAGTGTGCAAAATTAAGTTCACTTTTAAAAAGCAGCTTCCTAATCAAAGCTGTCTCTTCAATGAAACAGAAAGAAAAAAGCCCTCACTAAGTGTACTTCATCTGAGCTCTTGTGTCTGAATGTATAGCGAGGAGCTTCTTTGAAAAACTTCCACGTAGGCATCCCGTCAAAGAGAACCACATGTTTAGCAGTTCCCATTTCGCTAAAAAAAAAAAGTTCATTTCACAGACTCTTCACTGTTTTGAAGGCGGAGTGCTCAAATCCAATTTCCATCAGTATTATTCTTTGAGTGCAGGCAGCTTCCCCAGTCCCTCTGCAGACAGCATCAGCCTGACAGCTCCTATTATTTCTCCATGTTTATTACTAAGCTGCGCACACCTCGTCCTCATTGTTTTTTATTCTCTACCTTCCCCTGCTAGATGTTATCGGAAAGGAAGTGGACGAACAATTTTACACGTCTGTCACTTTATAATTTAGGAGAGAGCAGGTTAGATGATAGTTCAGATAAAAGTATAGGGATGGAATGAGTGAAGTTTTTCCCTATATCTATGTGCAAATATTTCCTCTGAATCTTCATAGATAATAGTGGAAAAAACATGACAAAGTGGCATACAGACAGACAGCTCTTACGTTCATTTGCCAACAGCATATTTGATCAAATGGTTGCTCTGTAATGTCTGTAATGGCACAGAGAGTGACAGCAGACCTCCTCCAGAGTTTAAATATTGGCAGTCAAAGCCACACAGGCTTTGAACCATGCAGCTGTATGAGCAGGGTTCTGAGCTGTACCTCATGCATACCTCAGAGAATCATAATACAGATCTAACGCAAAGATCATGATATCATTACTAAAGATGCTGGTCTCAAATAATGTTCACAATAAGGTATTCTCAGCACCATGCATATGATCATCAGGGAGGTGAACAAACCTGTTTGCAAAACCTCAGGAAGCCAATGGAGTAACTCATTCCAGCCAAGCAGCAGGTACCATACAGGCAACTTGACCTAAATGGAAAAAAATGATAACAGCTGAAATGCTGAACATTATCATTATCATCATTTACATGACTATTGAAAAGCACACTGTAACATCACAGCCATAACACAATTATATACAGTACACTGCAAAGGTCAAAGGCCTTCATTATTTAATTTCTAGTCAAAACAGCCATTACGTACAAGTTATTCAGGATATTTTTTTTTTCAGGAGGTTAGATATAAGAGAAACCTCTTGCATGGGGAGGGGGAAAGCCAAAGAAAAATAAGTGGAAAAACAGGAATTTCCAAAATTGGAGTTCAAAAAAAGACTAACATATGGAGAGAAAATGGGACTCCTAACAACTGTGCAAGACCTGGTAGACCACCAAAACTGTCACCATGAGATAAACAGTACTTAAAGCTTTCATTTTGGAGAGAAAACTCAAGCTCCACTCTTGCTGCTGATCTGTAAAAATCCACAGGTGTTTCTGTCCATCCTTCCACTGTGAGCAGATAACCCAACGCTATGGGTCTGAAAGGGTGTTTTGCTGTCAAGATGCCATTACTGAGACATGAACACAACAAAAAAGAAAAACAGTTGCCACCCCAGAGCCCTGCATAATCAACATCAACATCACTGAATGTGGTTGGAATTAAATAGATAGAAGCAGAAAATGCAACCAATTTCTAAGACTAAAAATAAAGTGTGGGAAAAATACCTCTGCAGATTTCTCCTGAAAAAGAATGGCAGCAGCAATAAATACTGAACAACCTGATATATTTAGATGTTGAGGCTTTTGTGTAATTTTGTAAGTTGAATATGTTTTCTGATTTTCCCCTGATGCTGAAAAATGAATAACTTGTACATAATGGACATTTTGGCTGGAAATCACGTAAATGAAGGGTGGTCTCTTGATTTTTACATTTTGCACAGTGCTGTATATTTAATAAGGTATGGAAAATTATTAAAATGTACATAACTATAGCTTAGTTTATTTCAGAGCTACAAGACCTGCCCAATACTAACACAGTGACTACTGCAACTCTCTTCTTACCTTCTGCTGCACTGCAGGATTAAAACAAAATGACATTGTGTTTTCTCAATTTATTCTTTAATTTGGAACCAATAACATTCAAATCAAGGCAAAAGGCAACATTGTGTGCTAACTGTAAGAAAAAAAGCAAAAAACAACTAAACAGAGTTTGGTTTGGGGGGTTTACAAACCCCTTAACTGTAAACAAGCCGAGAAGTAACCAATTTACTTCCAAATAACAAAATGCTAATTAGGCTCATCTGTGTTCAACTGTTGGGATTCTGATTAGAGCCGAATAAATCCAGCTGTTCCTGAAGCACTGCTTTGGTGAGTAGTGCTTCTTAAAGTAAAGAGGGCAATGGGGAGCTTTTAGAAGCCCTCAGAATAATGTTGTGGAACGGCACAAAACAGGATATGGGAGCCAAAAGAATTTCAAAAGCCCTAAAACAGGCGCTCCAAAATCTGCTCATGGAAATCTACCACCCTGCAGAGTTTAGTTCCAACCCTGATCCAGTGTACTCAGAAGCTAATCAAGGTCTTTTAGGAGCATGTGAATATTAGTGCCAGGTGCATTACATAAGATGGGGCCAAGCAGATGATACAATAAGATAATATGTTTTGTACAGTTCTGGGCTGTATGAGAGAGAAGCAAGAATAAAGACAGTACTCAACAAAGCCCACATGAGGTCTCACTTAAAGCGTTCAATCTGAGGCCCAAGAGATTCTGCAGCTTAGTGAACAAAGGCTTGTAATATCAATGTAAAATGGAGTTTACTAGAACACTATAACAGTGGCGTGAAGTAATAGAAATAATGGATTACATGCAGTCCAAAAAAGTGCATGTGTTTTTTTTAGCATTTTCTAAGCCAACTCACACTACATGAATATTTTACACAGAAGAGGGAAAAAGTATGAAGATCTCTATTCGATATTAAAACTACAATTCTCTTTGATAGCCTAGACAGCCTTAATTTTATGAGGGCATTTCTATTGGGTGAAAAGTGGGGCACTTGTGAGAATAAAAGCAGAGCTAGACCTTGCAAACCTCAGATAGATTCCTGAAGAATGCTGCTGTACTCTGCCAGAAAACTGACAGTAGGAAGAAAGCACACAGCTAAAACAAGAGTGGACAGACTAAAGAACAGAAAGGTAGATGTCCTCATGTGGCCTTGGTGAAGCACAGACCTCAATCTGACTGAAAATTCAAAGAGTCGCCTGAAGAGCACCATCCGGTCCCTTCTGGCTGAGCTGGAGGAGACTGCCAGATTGAGGAGTACATACAATGGTGCATGTACACACAAAGACTAACAAAAACTAACTGTGGTAATTCAGGCAAAATCCATGTTTTGTATTCAGAAAATAGGATAACTGGGTGAGTCTTGATTTCAGGTAGTTAGGCCAAAAAAACATGAGCATTATGAAATGTCATTGAGATTTGCTATAGCCAGTGTCATTTACTTCAGTGGATGAGCCAGCGTTTACACTTCACATGAGGTCATGAAAGAGCAGTTCAGCAATCAAACCGCAGTATAATGTGCATCCATTACTCCAGAGGGGAAAGACAGACACTCACTGAATTTGCTTCCCTCGTATTTCTGCCATGATGGCACTCTCTCCTCCTAAATACTCAAAGGACAGGCTGAGAAAGTTGTAGATCACAAAAGCTGAAAAGGATAGAAAAATACAGTATAATGTCAGAAAAATACATAACAGTTTTACACAAATAATAAAAACAAATCAGTTGCCTGGACAACTACACTGGTATAAAAACTGGACACAAAAAAGCAAGAAAATCTATCTTCCTCTACACTGTGAATGTAATACAGGTCAAGCTTAATGGAATAGGTTGTCTGTCCAAGAAAATCCATCTTAATCCGTTGTTTCTATTTAAAGGGGGCTTAGATAAAGCTAATAGAAGGACTGTTCACTCTCTCTGTCTCTCCCTGCCAGAGCATTATGACAACAGTTGGCTATTTTATTATATGAGTTATTTTCCCCTGATAGTATCTGGAACCAGTCTGACCATATCTGAAATTAAAACAGTAGATAATGTATTCAAATTTTCAAATCTTTTAACTTTTTTAGTAAAAGTTATTTGTATGATTCATCAGCACTTTTAATAAAAGCTCTGCCTTTTGCTTAATGTAACAGTGCACAGTGCTCTTATACAGTGAAAAAAATTCTTCTGAACAATTCACACTACATGAATATTTTACACTGAACAGGGACTAAAAAAGGATTATAAAAATGTCTGTTTGATATTAAAAACTACAACTCCCTTGGATGGCTGAACTATTTTGGATGATATTGGTTTAATAAAAAGGAGGGAAAAAAGATTCCCCTGAGAAGCAGAGTCCCAAGCAGATAACTCAGATAATGGAATTCAGGACAAGTGTTTTCTAGCAGAGGAGAGGAAGATACGACACCAGAGATGATAACACTCTTTTTCTACTACATGGCAGGATAAAGGAAATAGGCTTGAGCAGTTAAGTGAAGCCTATCTCTGAGCTGAGATCAGTTCTGTACAGCTGTTACTCTCCATATGTAAACTGAGGTCTGCAATGTACATAATGTCATGTTAGGGGAAACTGTAAACAATAGAGCTTATGAATTGCTCGTCTAAAGTCCCTTGTAAAAACAATGAAATCCAAGATGTCAACATTTTCACCAACTGTCTGCAGCTAACTGTTTGAAAGTGTCTTTGTGCTTTAAATCACTATTTCTCATTTTCATTACCATAAAAATTCTGACACTTCATTGTAGGTATATTTAGCCATTTTTCTCTCTCAAAAGTGCCATTTTTTCCATTTTTCTCCCCTATTTGATGCATTCCTTTTTTGAAATGTAAAGATGTGGAAGGATTAAGTCAGCAGTATTCCAAAAACCAAGTTAATTACAGTAATAGTTTTTATAGTCCACATTGCAACTGTAAATCACTGTTAAAATGGCTGGAGGGCAGATTCACCAAAAGGGCTAGAGGGTTTCTTTCCTGCCTCACAAACCTTCGTAGCAGTCCCGGACAGAGTCAAAGTAGACATAGTACTGGTCATTGCTGATGAAGAGGAGGCTGAGCCAAGAGTCGAAGGCATAGATGGGCACGATGAAGAGGATGCGTATGATGTATCGCTGCTCGTTTGGGACCGTGTATGACCTCAGGTGCGAGTAGATCTGTCACATACACAGAGGCAAAAGAACATTTTCATGAGCTTCAGCAAACGAGACACTGAAAACATGAGACGGAAAAATCCTGTTTCAATCATAAACCTACCCAAAATGAATAAATGTAGCAAATTAAGTAGTAGATATAACCCCTTTAAACTCTAAGGGCCTGCAATTTTAATTCCACTCTGTCATAACAACATAACCTATGTGCCAGCTGCATAGTATTTACAGTATGAATAACTGATTAATAAGTCTGCAGTTTAAGGGATTAAAAGCAATGAATCTGTGACACACTGAATAGGTTATGGATAAAGGTATTTCTCTCAATTTTTCCTTATAAAATACTGCACCAGAGGTGTGGAAGAAGGAGCCATGTGATAAAAAGGGAATTTAAATTATTAAAATGTAAAATCAGGGAGCAAGCTGGAACTGAGGTCAAGGGGTGACTGAGGTTATGGGGCAAATGGAAATAATGCATCAAACACTTCTTTGGTAATAAAGGAGGAGGTCAAGTGATCAAAGACACTCAAACCAGATATATATATATATATATATATATATATATATAAGTAGAGCAATGAGTAATAATGATAGCACAGAGAGGAGAAATAATCTACTACTCTTCCAGAAAAAAACAGGAACCTGTTACCTTACCTTATCTCTTAAGTTTTATAACACCCAAGACCGATTTTGCAGTTAATCATTACACATAAGGTATACCTAGGTAAAAATGGATTATTGCCTTTTTGTGATTAACGTGACAACACAAGATACACAGGATTATTGGAAAGAAGCTTTTTTTGACACTCAAAAATCCTACAAAGCTTGTGAGACATGTCAATCACCCTGTACAGTCAAGAGTTATAGACGAGCTTCAATTTGTGCATGGATTCTGACTCACATGAAATTAGATGTGAGATTTTTTCTGGCTCAGTCATTGCGTGGGTGGAGGACTGATGTATTTGGGCACTCTGGAAAGCTGGGGTGAGTCAGCCTGTAGACTGATGTGGTCCATTTCTCCTGTACTGCAAGAAGAGAAATATGCCCACAGCCTCCCTGGCTCAGTAAACTCTGCTCAAGGTAATGGCTCCTGCCACTGATGCCATCTTTTTTTCCCTTTTGATGAATTTGTTTTTGATTAATTTAACCATCTCTAATTGCCAATCCTTGCAAATGTATGTATGTTTTTATGAGTCTTTACATCTTTTAAAACCACACAAAGTGCAGAATTGCTCAGAGCATTTTAAGACGACCAGCTACTTAATGTTATAATGGCATTCCCTGGTCATGGACAGCACATGGCAAAAGTAGAAATATGTTCATTTAACGAAAACATTAACTACACGCATTAATAAAGAATTTGTCCTGCATTTTCCACAACAACAGCCTCTACTCTTCTGGAAATGATTCACACAGGTACTGATGTTGGTTGGTAAGTTCTGGATCACAAGCAGTACACCAACTCATCCCAAAGGTATTGGTTTGTTATTCATCAGCAGAAAATGCAGTTCCACTGAGCAGCTGCTCCAGAGCATCCCATTCTATTAGCAAAGCTTTTTTATAGGTATTACACAATGTGTGCATGCAATTGACCGCCTGTGTCAGCAATGAATGCACCATAAAGAAGTTAAATTCAGTAATTAGAAGGGGTGTCTGGATACTTTTGGGCAAAAGGGCATGGTTAAGGTTCTTAAAAATAAAGGGTACTTTGGAACGATGCCATAGAAGAACGACTTTTGGTTTTCTAAACAACCTTTCAATCGAACATGGTTGTATAAAGCACAATTTTTGTCAATGTGAGTGTGAAGAGTCTTTTTATAGCTCAAAGAAACTCCACATGATGTAAAGCTTCTATGCAGGTTAGGTTTTCCTAGAACTGTATGTCCAAACCAAGAAACATTTAGGAACCTTTATTTAAAATAGTGTGTCCTACTAGTTCATTCTGGTCCCAGTGCATCAAATGACAACAGGTCTCCATGCAGATCTTAAGATCTTCAGCTTGCAACATTACCTTCAAGTGATACCCATCTAAGGTAGTAACTAAGTCTTTAGTAGCCAGTCCCTTTTCCCTTTTTCTCTTTTGGCATCTATTAAGTGGCACTCTGCACTTGTCTTTGCATGCGATGTGCAGTGCATGTTCAGGCATATTCTGTCACCTAATCATAGTGGTATCCTGTAGTCTTTTCACAATCCCCTCGTTTGTAAGAGGGTCATGCCATGATATCCATGATATGGTCCTAAGGCACAGACGATGGAAAACATGTAACCTTTTACAGATCTGTCTTGTCTGATTTCATGTTTGCTGTCACATAGTGCTGTAGATATGATGACTGATTTACAGCTTGGTGCTCCAGCTGACGAAAGTGCTCAAGCATGTGGGATACTCTTGGCATTCCACCAATGGCAACTCCTAGCTGAAGTTATAGGGGGTGGCTGGTACAGGCTGCTTCAGCACCACTTGGAAATGTTCTACTCATCTTGCTGACTGTCCCTTGGCTGTTACAAATACCTTGCCATCCTTACCCTCAAGTGATATGCTAGAGTCGCTTCTGGAATCCTGGAATTGTACCGTGCTGTCTTTACCTCTGCTTCTTTTCCCTGCTCCTCCAATCTGATTTTCTTGACAAGAAGAAATACAGTTGAACAAGATGTCTGCATTCCTCATCCCTTGCCCTCACAAGGTCAATGTCACCAGTTCAAGGCCTTCTTATTTCCCAACAATGAGAGGAACTGCCAAGATTGTACCTTAAGACTGCTCCATATATACACTCACCAAGCACTTAGAGCCTCCCTTTGCTCTCCTTTGCTCAATTCATCATGGCATGAATTCCACAAGACATTGCAAACATTCCTTTGACATACTGGTCCATGTTGACGTGATTACATCATGCCATTCAAGCAGATTTTTCAGGTGCACTTTAAAGCTCCGGATCTCTCATTCTACCACATCACAAAGATATTCTATTGGATTCAAATCCTGTGACTGGGAAGGCCCCTGAAAAACTGTGAGCTCGTTGCCACGTTCATGAAACCTGTTTGAGATGGCTTTGTGATATGGTGCATTATCATGCTTGAAGTAGCCATTAGAAGATGGATGAATTGTGGCCATGAAGGAATGCACACCGTCAGCAACAAAACTCTGTCTGTGGCATTCAAGTGATGACTGATTGGTGATAACAGGCCCAAAGTGCACCAAGAAAACATTCCCCACACTATTGCACCACCTCCACCACCACCACCCTGTTGACACAAGGCAGGTGGGGTCCATGAATTCATGCTGTGTCTCAGACTTACCAGACCAGGTTTTGTTTTTCCAGACTTCAACTGTCCAGTTGTGGGAAGCCTGTGGCCACTGCAGCCTAAGCTTTTTGTTCTTAGCTGACAAAAGTGAAGCCCAACATGGTCTTTTGCTGTTGTAATCCACCCACCTCAAGGTTAGATGTGTCAAGCATTCTGAGATACTTTTCTGCACATCACAGTTGTACAGAGTGTTTATCTGAGTTACTGTAGCCTTTCTCCCAGCTCAAACCAGTCTGGCTATTCTCTGTTCAACTCTCCTATCAACAAGGCGTTTCTGTCTGCAGAATTGACCCTCACTGGATATTTTTTCTTTATCGCACCACTCTTAGTAAACTCTACAGACTGTTGTGCATAAAAATCCCAGGAGATCAGCAGTTACAGAAATACTCAAACCTGCCCATCTAGCACCAACAATCACACCACAGTCAAAACTACTGAGATCACATTTTCCCCATTCTGATGGTTGATGTGAATATTACCTGAAGCCCATATCGGCATGATTTTATGCACTGCTGCCACACAACTGGCTGACTGACATAATTGCATGAATGTGTAGGTGTACAAGCGTTCCTAATACAGTGCTTGGTGAGTGTATGAAAGCATTACAGGACAGCTAAACATGCTTGTAAGAGACCTCTAACTGCCCTGTTCTGTATATATGACCGAACATGATTGTCTGTCATGAAGTGCTGTTCTTTCACTACAGTCTCAAAATGGTACGAATTCATCCAAATATTTGATTAATCTGTTTTAACAGGTGTGGACCAAGTAAACTGACACTGCCTGCTATAGCTGCTTCCAAATATTCCCCAAAACAGCCATTTGTAACACTGAAATGGTTGGTGAACCACTGGCAAGTTTCAGGAATGCCTTAATATTGACAATTTTGGTGAAACAACTGTGATGTCCAGGTCAGCTTTTCCCTCCTAATTCTTTTGAATACTGAAGAAAATTGTGATAGTATGTTGTGGTCTTATATCAAAGACTTTTATTACCCAATCTTCGACCCTCTCCTGGGGGGTATTCATAGAACAGCAAACAGCAGAAAAACTATTCTTGGTTTAGCATTTCCACTTAAGCACATGGTGAGATCTTGGCAATGATAGCTTAAAACTTGATCCTAGATCAGCATGCTACTCTAAAACTCTTTGTCAGCACAGGCCCTGCCAACAAGAAGCCCCTACTGTGTGGATTTGTCTTTAGGGGGTTGCTTTGACGTGATCTGAAGTGCTTTGTGAGTTGGACTACTGTCAGGTTGTAGCCAGTGAGAAAGTGTTTAGATCCATTCACTGGTTATAATTTGTAATCCTTGCTGCATTTATGAGCACACATTAGTCAGGCCTCTGAAGCCAAGATGTTTTCTGGACATGTTAGTATGGCGCATACATAGTATAGCTTAATTACATGGATGAGATTTGTGAAAAAGATGAACATAGGTCAGTTGTAAGCAATAAATAAGGGTTAGAAAAACAACACATGCTTGCATAAAGTCAACACTTTAACAGCCAAAAACAAGCAAGAAAAAGGTTACTTTCTGTCACTTATGTTTACATAGTGCTTTGGCATCAAGTAAAAGAGGTTACATTTTCAGAAGTCTGAATTCACAGTTTGCGTCTTGTTAGTCTTGGGCACGGATAGTAATGCTATTGATCCAAATCAGTGCCTCAAGAACACAGTGTTTCGGAAATACAACCTCAAGCTTACCCTTTTAGCATGCACAGAGCACTAAGAACGGCAATGACAGAATCTTTCAGAGAGAAATCAAGAAGAAGACAGCAGAATACTAAAAGCAATGAGAGCTGCTTTAATCTCTTCACAATTTACATACGTTTTCCTCACACAATCCTTTCCACCAGTTCTCAACAGGCTGCTGTTTGCCATGCCTCAGAAGAAATGGTTGTGGACAAATTGCTTGGCTGCTGGTCTGAGAAGCGAAACGGGACTGCCGGGATGAAGATAATAATTATACGCAGAGGAACACCGGTTCATAGAGATTCATTTTTCAGCCGCTGAACACCAGCCTAACATTGTTTAGCTGCTTCAAAACCTGCTGCCTCTCAAAGGCATTAGAGGTTCGGAGGGAGGACGAGAAGCTTCGGAGGCAATCAAAACATGTCCTCCAGGTGCACTCCAGGCATTGTGTGGAAGAAAGTCTTTTTCTGACCCCTTCTACCATCCCTACAATCCCAGCAGTCCAATTACATAACACATCCTTGAGAAGCATATTCTATATTACAAGTTTTTCATGGGTCATGTAGTCTAAAGCAAGGAAGGTGCACATGGGATGTGTCAGCAAAACCAGTGAAATTAAATTTGGCATCCTGTCAACCTTAAGTGAATGAATACTCTATATAATTTAATCTGTGTATAATAATATATTATATATATATATATATATATATATATATATATATATATATATATATATATATATATATATATATATATATATATATATATATATATATTTGCTTCAGCTAGAAACACAAGGTGAGACTGTATTCATAGTGAGCAAGTTTATCTCCTAAAACAGCCCCTCAATAACAGTTACGGTATCCAATGTGATCTAATGAAACACACAATAAGCATGACAAAATGTAGGCTAAATGTGAGAAAATTCTGTAAAAAAGACAAATAAAAATATACAAAAACAAATAATTAAACACTTGGCCAATATGCAAATTCCATTACTATACAGCCATTACTGTGGGTAGCAATTTAGCAAAGCTACATTTACTCAGTAAGATGAGTCATTATTTAGTCATTAACATTTCGCAACCCTTTTTTTTTCATCTTGGATGTACAGAGTGGCTTCATTGCTGTTCTAAAAGTAATACAGCACTAAAGTAGTTTTAGATCAGTTACTTTTATACTTTTGTTTTGTGGAAAGGTACTTTCACTTTAGCAATAGCAGTAGAAACACTAAGTTGAGCATGGGTTTAGACTACTCTACACAGCTTTTATTGGCATATTGCAATAGTTACATCTGATAAAGACTGAGAAAAAAAATCATCTGCTAAACATTTCCACTGCTGAAATGGGCTGAGCAATCTACAGCTCCCATTATTGGTTTCATCATAGTGAGTGTGTTTGCTTTATTATTTCCACTCTGAGATCATTTCGACATGGGAGACTCTGTGATTCAGTTTCGCCTAGATTCCAGTAATAATCTGTTAGATTCTATTCACCGTGTCTTAGCTGGACATAAAAATCCTCAGGGATGGTCAGCATAAGCCTAGCTAAAAATTGTTTTTCAACAGAAATACAGTGATATTGTAGCTTTGCCCAGAGTACAATTGATCTCTGCTTGAAAAAATAGCCTCTAGCACAATCATTTATTTAACATACATATAGATTTGAAAGACTTTTTGATTGAAAACAAAACAGAATCAAACAACTATAAAGAGTTTAGCACACTAGTATTAAACAGTGACTGTCCATTACACCAGCATTCACAGTGTTTACACTATCTTCTTATCAGCTTGGGCAACTCACTCTATTCAATGCTCCATGTCAGCTCTGGTTGGACAAGGACAGCTAAGAGCATTCTTACTGGATAACGCTGTAATAAGGAAGTAACAATACCTGCCTGGCACCAGCTGGCAGTGATTTTATTTTTATTTTTAACTTTGCATTGCACTTTTGGTCACCTGTACCTTCAGAGGCAATGTGAGAAAAGACTGGGAGGAGGTGAGTGTTTTCATGGCTGTTTAGAAAAGTAGGGGGGCTCAAATTACACTGTATTATCCAGACTTGATGTGGATAGTCTGGCGCCCTGTGGCAAGGGTGGAGAAAGGGAGCAGCAAGCAGCTCCACACAAAGCTCCTGTCCTCCGCCTAGGCTATTTGCTTTATATTTTCCTGCGTTTTCAATGAGCCATGGCCATTAGCGTTGCCAGCTCCTCCTGTGCTCTTCAATGCTGAGATTGTTCCTCACCTCTCTTGGCAGGCGTTTCACCCAGGCTTTCATAAGCTTCCCAAGACGCAGCTTTAAGAGCAGCAGTGAGCTCCTATTTTGTTATATTAGGCTTTTCTAAATCCGAGGCTTAGAAACTAGACTGAATGACTGGCTTGGGTTGAGTTTGCACAGAGATGTTGTGCAAGCAATGCATTTGGAAGTCAACGTATGGTTAGGGCTGGATGTTGTCTGAAAACGACAACAATACAGATATCTTGACTTTTATAATGATTCATGAACAATATTTACATTATGATATTTTGGTCTATACTTTTTTCTTTTAAATACAAATTACAAATTCAACTCTATATGGTACACAACTGATGTTTACAAAAAGGAAATCACGACACAACTCCTTTTGTACGTAATTGTAATTGTATTTCAATATTAATTCTTTTTTCAAAGCTCTTTTGTAACCCAAACAGCTTACAAAAACTCAGTGCTCTGAGACACTCACGCCAATTGATTTTGTGTAGCAGACTGTTGATGCTAATAACTTTCAGCATTTAATTTAGACAGCCAAACAGCAGTCAAGATTTTGAACCAACAATGCTTATTGACTCACCGATGCTGATAAAACTGATTACTTGACTGTGTTGACACAGACAGAACTTTTCTCTACTCAAAATATTTCAGTTCACGTCATAAAGTTATGAAACCAAGCCCTACTCCAACTCCAAGCTAAAAAGCATACCAAGCATACCAAACTTACCTGGTGACAAGTGATAAGCAAGGCAGACCAAACAAATATCCCTGAGAGAGCCTGGGCAGCAGTTGTGTTCAGGAAGATCTGGTCCTCCTCTGGCGTCCCATTTGTTGATATGATTACGGTCATATTACCCATGCTACTTAAGTTTGACACGAACAGTGAAGATGAATCCTGAACACTATGGTCTGAAGCCATCATCACTGTACTGTTAGCAATCTCCTCCAATGATTCATTCATCTGTGAAAAAAAAACAAAACATTGGGATTATGATATATATGGTATTTTGGCACACAAAGCAACATTACTTTTTTTATATATATTTTGCTTAGAAGTTCATATAAATTGTTGCTTACAAATTTCTGGCTTGCTACTAGTGAAAAAGCTGGCTACATAGCCTGGATCAATTTAATAGAAAGCAACCTGAAATGTAACTGCTGCATGAAATAAGATGTGAGCTTTTCACTCTGTCACTACTTAAAGTGCAGTCATGTCTGTAGAAAGCCAATATAAATGTTAATACGAAACACCAGAGAGGTGAAAAACATGGTCAGTGATCTTTTCATCTATGCCTAAAAGACACAATTTTGTATTTGGTTGGCAAGTCGCTCACCTTTCACTGCCTGTCAGCAGACAGCCACCAGCAGATATCTGCAATTCTGTGAGCAAACTGCGAGTGGGCCACCAGGGGATGTCACAAGGGAAGTGCGGTGGGGCCAGTGGGCCACCAGCTGCATCGATACCAAACCACAGGCCTTGTCTGTCACAGTCTGTTGCCTTTGTAAGAAGGAAAACAGCTGTAAGTTTATGCTTTACTGTATTTACATTTTGAAAAATAACTGATCTCCTCAACTGAAAGGTTCTTTATAAGTTAGGGGTGTAAAGAGTCATACAATTCATAATCTGCAGCGATATGAGGCGGGAGTGTCTCAAAACAATACATTCTTCGATACTGTAAAAATAAGGAATGCCTGAAAATGTGCCTTATGTTAACAGGTTAATGCTTCCATTTTCAGTTTATTAAAACATTCAACATTAGAAAAGCAAAATATTTTATAATAATGAGGTAGCCATGAGCTACTATGACCTAATATACCTGCTCTTGATTTTGAGGTAACAAGGAAGTCATTTTTTCAGAGGTGGGATGGTCTGCTCTAATGATATGGTTTTTTGGTAAAACAGTCTTGGCTAGGAGGGCAAACAATAGATGGGTTGAAATGTCTTGTCTATTTACCACTCATATTTACAAACATCAGGCATTACCTGTGGATCAGTTATAGTTGCATTTTACAGATTTAGCATACCTATGCAGAAGGCCTACTATGCAAAAGTACCCACACAAAATACGAATTAAATACTATATATTAGCTTCTCAGTGTCAGAAAACAGCAGAAAAGTACAAGAAAGCCTCCAACACTAAGAATAATATGAAACCTATCAGTATTTCATTTGTCCACTCTTTACTTTTGTGCACCTACTGCTGCTTTTGCTCTTCCATCCTTACAATCTTAAATCGAACAAGTTAGAGCTGTGTCCTACCAATAAAAGCTGCTCCCTACTGAGTCACTGATTACTGTGTCATTGTGTTACCCTTCAAACTGACACAAACAACTATAGAGACACACCTCAGCTGCCCAGCAAACTGCTAATGTGCATCTAAATGGCTAAAGGAGATATTTTGAGGAGATATCAATGCTAAGCTGTTAAGAAGCCATTACTGAAAAAAGTAAATAGACAAAAAAGGAGTAAATTTGCACAACACTGAAACTCGACATCTGAGATGTGGAGCCTAAGTTTCTATGGGCTGATGTGTCTAAATTAGCAATTGGGGTTGCTTGGATCACGAGAAGCAGAAAATGCAACCAAAAGACTGAACGTTGGAGTTGCGGAAGAATATCCCTGCAGATTTCTTTGAAAAACTGAAAGCGAGTCTCTCGAAAAAATGGAAGCCGTAATGAAGGCAAAAGGTGGAAAAATTTTATATTATATTCAGTAGTAGTTTACTAATATTGCTTAAATATGATTCCTTTTTTTTGCTTGTATTGAAAAATAATAACTAATAAATAACGTCCACTTTGACTGGAAATAAATGAAAGGCTGGTCTCTGATTTCTACTTTTCTGTGGTACTTCTTCTTCTTCTTTTATGAGGAAAGAAGTCTACTTTTTCCTGCATTTCAGTCACTTTTACCTTAGAAAATTCCTTTTTTGTGTGTTTAATTTCAGGTGACAGCACCTGGACACCTGCTGTTGGTCACACAAAGCACATTTGAGCATTATAATTTTATTATATACAAAAAAGACGGTTCTATAAGTTCTTTAGTAAAGAAAATGGTTCTGCATAGAACCATGAACACTCAAATAACCCATTTGCGTGACTGCATGAAGGGTTCTTTGCATTGTGAAAGAGTTCTTCAGATTGATGGAGAATGTGCTGCAGACAGTTCTATATAGAACCTTTTTGAAAAGGTTTCTTCTATTATTACAATGTCAAGCTTGACACAATAGACGAAACTTTTTTTGGTGCTATGCGAAAACTTGTTAATCGTGCAAAGGGTTCTTTGAGAGCTCACTGTTCTATATTGTACCATTTTCTTTACTAAAGAAACCATTACATTTAAGTGTGCACCAAAGGTATTACAAAAAAAAGAGAAGAATAGTTCCTAACTAACTGAAGCTCCTACATACACATACACAAAAAAACACTGTTCTTCAAGGGTTCTTTTGTAAAGGCAATGATTCTATTTAGAACCATGAGTTCTTTATATAACCATTTCACGCTTAAATGGTTCTTCAGATTGATGGAGAATATACTGTGTACATGTATCTGTACTGTTATATAGAATCTTGAAAATGGTTCTATATAGCACCAGAAAGGACTCTATGGTTACATGCTTGCTAATACCAGAACCCCTTCACACTAGAACAGTGAAACTCGACGTCGCAGATATCTTCCATCAATCTGAACCATTTCACCATACAAAGAACCATTTAAGCATGAAATAGTTCTATAAAGATCTCATGGTTCTAAATAGAACCACCGCCTTTACTAAAGAACCCTTGAAGAACCATTTTCTTTTAAAATGTGTATGACATACTGGGTGTACTAATAGGCTCCACTGCAGTTCTATAGGTGACTGTACTTGTGTAGTTTATTCCTTTTCAGGCTGAATCCGGTAGATGTTGTTTGTGTTTATGTCCTTATTTCCTTCAAGTAACTGTTGGCTCCACTCGCCTTAACCGGACACTGAGAGAAGAGCTCAGAATAGAAAGGCAGCTAATTTACAGGACAATAAATGAGCTTTACTCCGTACACAGATACTGAGAAGTTTCATTCAAATTTAAATATCGTAAAATCTAAACTGAATCACCCACTGCAATTCATTAATGAAACACTCACAGTGGCATCATGACGCGTTACAACGTGCTAAACCTACACCGAGTCTCACTGTACAGAGAGAAATGGAGTCAGGGTGGAGGTGCTTTCTTATTTGTCCACACACTGAATAAAAAAGTTGCTGTTTATCATTCAGGGTATTTGAATGAGCGAGGCCAAAAGTTTCGTAGTCTTTCGGCAAGAGAACAAAACATTTTGGACGTTTTTAGGCATAATTTACAACCTGAGCGATGGAAAACGATGCGTTCGATGCGCCACTCACCCTCTCAGTGACACGGCAGACACCTGCTGTCTCGCTCCACCCGCCCTCCGCTGAGGCAGCGCTGCCGGCCGAGCCTCACCAACACCGTCTTCAAAATGTCCCCGTTTCCTCCAACCTTCTCCAACACAACACCGTCACTTTCAGGGCATAAACCGTGTACACACTTTCACTCTGAAGAAAACCTCGAGGTAAAAAGCTGCCATCAGTGGAAACACTTTCTCGCCCAAGAACTGACACCAACGACTCACAACTTCCTCGTTTGGTCGACAGGTAGGTCGAACGGATCGAAGTCCACCATAAGCTCAGCTCGCTTCAAGATAACACGCAAGTAACGTTTAAAAAACACCTGTTGTACCACTCATTAACGACGACATTAAAAAAGTGAGCTTATTTTCTATTTAATATAGTTTCTAAGTTATTAAAACGTTTTCCTCACAGGCTCCTCTATCCAGGTAGAAGCTCCTCACACAAAAACACATAGCCTGTCCATGTGACCTAACGACGTCCGTCCTTTAATCACGTGGCCTCAGTCCCAACTCGTAAGGTAAGTGCACCTGTTGGTCCTGCTCCCAACCACAAAGGTTTCCGCAGAAACCTGCCTGTTATTTAAGATATCCACTCAAGACACATGTAAACAAATGCAACACTTTAATAAAACAATAAGGAAGCTGACAGTTGTGAGGTATGGAGAGGAATTTGTGCCAAATTCAAAAGAAATCACTACAATGAAAAATATGTGGAATGCAATGCATGGCATTACTTTTACGTAGTGGCATGAATATATGTGTCAAAATGAAGAACAAAACCTCTGTTACACTGTTTTTACATGGCTTGACCTCTTGACTGAAAAACAGCACATGAATATTTGCATTTTAAAAATTAAATGCTGGATTCATGTCAGAATTGAATACAATCTACCTTGAATATAACAAAGACACAGCAATTTGCACCATGCAGTGGGTCTCTTTCACCAATATCGTCCTAAGTTTGTTCTTAAATGTGTTCTTGAGAAAGGGCCTAAGAAAATGTCTGTCAGATTCATAATGTGTTCTTTAAGCACAGGACTGCACCTTTGTGCTCTTGAGTGGCTGTAGATTCTGTTCTTACCTAAGAACAAATCCCAAATAAGAAAACATTGGCGATTGTCAGAATCTTCGTGAAAACTGCGTAAAAGAACAGAGCCCCGCTGGTTGCATGGTGTTTATAAAAATAATGTGTGGCCACAACTTAGTAAGGCATAATCTTGTTCCCACACCTTACTAAGTCGTGGCCACGACTTAATGATCTCATTTGCACACCTTACTAAGTCATGGCCATGCATTAGGATCTCGTTCCCATGCGTTAAAACAGCGTGGCATGCATTATTTTTATTTATATGGGATGTCACCAGCAGGGCTCCGTATAAAAGGGTTTTAAAAAGAAATTTCTTCTTAAAAACAGTTTGTGAATGAGGAACACTGTTTTACTTTTAACGTTGGCACATTTTCCACATGTTACTGTTTAAACACGATCTCGTGTGCTGTGTGTTCCGCTGTTTTGATTGAATTTCAACATGTTTGAAGTACAAAAAAAGCGATGTGGAAGCAATGTAGTCGACTGTAGGTCTGCTTTTCATTTTGGCTCTCATTCTGCATGGCCCCTATGAAAAAGTAAAGTCATGTGTGCATTGCATTTCACTGTTTTCACTGTTATGACTGCATTTCAATGAGGCATATCAGTGTAAAGTCCTGCAAGGTGGAAAGCAGTATAGCTGTGCCTTCATTACATTTCAAGGTAGTTTGTTGTTTTTCAGTGAAGAGGTCAAGCGATGTGATAATGTAATATAGGTTTTACTTCTTCATTTCAACACTTATTTCGCATGTCACATGTGCACTGCATTTCACATTTTTCCACTATAGAGACTGCTTTTCAATTTGGCATGAATTCCTCTCCATAGTGAAGAAATTCAACATTATGTAAGTGATGGTCCTCTTCCAAACCTAATACATTCAATATCATTGTACTTTTCAGCAGTGACACTGAAGGAAAATATCCAAACTTAACACAATGTCATAACAAACACATAAAAAGATGACAGTTAATCAGTTAAAAAAAACATTCACAAGAATGATTATTTTGTGCCACAAAGTGTTTCATGAATGTTTTCCATAAGTCCTTCTGGTCACCACACTTGGCAGCTTTTGATCATATCTTTCAGAGTTTTCATGTTTTCAGCACTGCAGTCTTTGAGCGCAAGTCCCAAAAGAACAGGTCGATTTCCTGCTTCCTGCGACACAAATGTTGCAATATTTTTTGCATAAACATGCGTCAGAGCCTGTGAAAGGGAAAAAAAACAAATATGAAACAAATTATATTCTGCCACTGCACTTTATGTTCTGTCATTCGACAGTTGTTGTACCTCATCTTTTCCTAGGAGCACCTTCGTAGTAAACATAGGGGTGCTGATGTCACCGCATCTTGCATCAGGTGTTATAGATACAAGGGTCCCGATCTTCCCATACTGTGTAAGGACAATGAAGATGTAGTTGCTGAATTCTGTGCAAACAACTTGAGTTGATATTCCATTGATTATTTTCTCTGCCTGCCTTGTTTTGATGAGTGGTTGATGTGCCATGGCAAATCCTGTCACCTGAAAGCACAGCCATACAGAAATAAATGTCAACAAAGCTGTATGTTTTACTCATCTGTAGTGGTTAAATGGACAAAACAACTGAAATGAAAAAATTAACCATCGCTACATCCATTGTAAACATGCTCACTAGCCTCTTACAGCGGAGCTGCAGTAATTTCCAAAGTGGGATTTCCTGGTTCAAAACAATGTTATGTAACAATTTCACCTTAAAATAACAGCTTCATAATCATTTTGATGGTACACTGACTTATATTAGGGAGCATGGCGTCTCTGGGCCTGGAACACCTGCATAGCGCTATGTAACTTTGGAGGAGCAGGCGCGAAACCTCTCGCAAGGACTGCTTAACACTTTACGGCCTCACGTCACACATCAACAACAACAGCTTCAGCTAGCTATAAGTAGCTTTGTATTCCCAGCATGGACATCATAGCAGAGGCTGCCAAAAGAATGAAGGAGACACTGCATAATGCCGCTTTAATGACCAGAAAAACCTTCTTCTGATGACGTATCCTGAAGGTGGAAGAAAATTTGAAAGGACTACAAGTCCTATGGGAAGGATATATGGTAGTGGTTTGATTTTTTTATTTTTTTTAGGTTAGTGCACTAGCTGGCATTACAGATTTATGAGCCCCTGTCTGGATTTGTTGAGCCAATAGAGTTCTCAGTGATTCTGTGATATATTGTGCATATTACCAGGTATTGTAGTGAGGGAACAGTGATGGGGGGAAAAAAAAACAAAATTGTGAATTGGCAAATCATTGGGGCCGAGAGATGCAGTGCTGTACGACAAAATACTACAATAGCATAGGAAATAACATTATTTTTTTGGCCAGAATGTCCCTTTAACTTAGACACTTCTGCACATTTGAAAATGATAATGCAGAGCAGAGAAGCAAGCACAGTATACTCACTAACAGAATGAGCAGGTAACATTTAAGCAAAAAATGTATGTGGTACTAGTTAGAAGCTGTCTCAGTATGAACCTTAATGAGATTTGCCTGTAATTACAAAGTATCTCGAAATCTTGACTTCTCCCTGTTCATCCTACTCGAAAAGCAGTCTAAAGGACAAAGTAAAATGCTTTGTTAACTTTGTTAAGGTATACCTTTAGGTGAAGTTTCACCTTTTTTAACACGGGAAACAACTTGAATACAGCCAGCAACGTTTCCACGTTAATGGTGACTACATAAAAAAATTATAAAGTTTTGTCGTATTAGTTTCTTAGCTTTGTGCTTTTTCCTACCACGGCATTCGCACGTACTTCAACTGAAGTGGTAAATATGAGCATTCAGTATCTGCCAGAAACAGAAAAAATAAGGGTAATATATGTTTTTCATTCATTTGTCCCGTGCAACATTTGCTAATGACATAGCACTACTAGCCAGAGTAGGCCCCACCTCCTCAGCGGAGAGGAGCAGCTGAAGCCCGGCTCGGAGCACAGGAAATACCGAGGCTTCCTCTGAGTAGCATTAAAATGAGAGATCGCTTTAAGACGAATTTATCATTTAAACCGAATATATACAAAAAAGAATACGCTGAATAAATCGTGTGAATGTTCTTACCACCGCTTCACCTACCGGTTTATGTTCTCATAAACACTCAGCATGCGTTCAAAACAGAAACTTTCATCCGTTCTCGTAGAGCAGCACGTCGGATCTACATCGCGTGCCTGTGCAACACTTCGTAGGAGAAATGTTTTGTAGATCTGCAATCTGTGCCACTCTGCGTACCTCCAGCACAGGAAACATGTCGCGCATGCGCGCTGCCTATTATTGCACGAATGAAGTTTATTTAAAAAAAAACTTTTTTTATCAAAGATTTAATAATGTAACTATTTCAATCACTATGAAGGACCTGTAATTAATTAATATTAATTACTTTAATCAACACCTCATTACGTCTTGAGTGACACTTGGGGAAACGGTGTAGGGGTGAGAATGAAGAGTAGGCAATTTTATGTCCAGGATTTTTATTTGATTTGTGAGTTGGGTCAAGTAAGAGTATTAGCTAAAATCCGCTGAACGTCTGTCAACACTGTTATTCACTGGAGGTATGGATCAAAGTGAGATAAGTGTGGAGACCTTAGGCTACATCCAGTACTGCATACTACCATACAAAAATAGTATGTCAGTACATTCATTTGTATGGTATAATGATATGTGGTGTTGGAGGCAGGCTTAATTTTTGCATTCCATGAAGAGGATTACATCATCAGTCTGTTGGTCAGTAGAAATGCTTTAGTGTGCATTAGTTATGCCTGCATCCATTCTGTGATTTGTACACATTGATTGTTATTTATGCCATTTATGCAGTTTAGTTGTTATATGTGAACGGCTAATCATACAAGTTTATTTATGCCTCTATGAGCAAAATCGTAGCAGTTTGCAAATCTTAAGGTTCTTTTCAGGGGAAGTGAAACCGCAGTATCTCATTGCATTTGCTTAGAAAAATGAATAGAATCAAATTACACAATGAATCATACCATTCAGTCATTACAAAATAACAAGTAAGTGAATTTCTTTACCAGTGCCTACACTGTTCGAAATAAAGGTACTGTGCAGGTACTTTTTTCATTCATCAAGGTACAAATAATGTAAATGTACCCTCAGAGGTACAACAGTGGTTTTAAGATCCAGTTGTGTACCTTACACAAGTTTTTCCCAGTGAAAAAGTACATATCTGTACTTTTCATAACCTAATGTTTTAAAACAGAGCAATAAAATAAAAAGCCTGGAAATGAGACAGGGTGTGTGGAGTCAATACAACTTATAAAATATGATTTCAATGGATTATGGTACAATTATGTTTCCTGACTAAAGATACTGAGATGTACCCTTGAGGGTACCACCCCAGTGACAAGAGGGGAACTGCCCCAGTGATAGTTTCGTACTTTTTTTTCTGAGAGTGTAGGGCTGGGCCTTTGGGGCTGAAGCTCTGAACGTTCCACAAGACACCCTCCAAGATCACATGAATTTGTGATGTCTGAGAGCATGAATTTACTGTTGTGTGAAGGCAGAGGAAAGTGAGAGACAAGTTTGTAAAGAGCCATCATCCATTAGTCCATGAAGGTCTAACATGGGAACCTTCACTTTGGAAGTAGCTTTTGTTTATCTCATTGCTGCTGCAATAATGCTAATTTCCACCAAGCTAATGGTGGTGCACATTCACTTTTGTATGCTGTAATGCTTAATACTACTGATTTTAGACCTGTGGGTGAGTGACAAAGGAAAAGCTCAATATATGTGAGTGCACATGCTTCCAGAAGTGTGTACTGCATTATGATACAATTAAAAAATTAACATCCTGCCATGCTCCTTGGCATAAAAACACCCTGCCATGTTCTTTGGCATAAAAACATCCTGCCATGTCCTTTGGCATAAAAATGCTGAGCGGGCCCAGTTAATCTGGATTTTGGATCAAGATGGCAAGAGGAAAAGATTTAAGTGATAGAAAGTTCTTTATTGGGGCACAGATGGCAGGAGATTCAGTTGCAAAGGCTGTTCAACTGGTTAATGTTTCAATAGGAACAGTGACTGAAGTAATTTCTGCATTTACATATATGGTGAATTATGAAAAAGAATTAAACTGGGCCGGAGTGCAATGGAGCAGAGCTTCGGCACCTTTGGTTGGTGTGAAAGGCAAACCATTTCCAATACAGTCTTGCAATACATTAAGCAAATTAAAATACAGTAAGTATGTTATTAACCCTTCCTGCAGTTTTAACTTGCTAAATAAATTGGTTTCTTATGGCTCGACCTTCTTTTGCATAAGTTACTAGTCAGGTTTGCATAACCAGATAAAGATGTCATCATTGAGAGAGCAAACATTTGTTCATAAAGTAGGCCTACTTTTGTTCCCTAAATTTGATAGCCATGGAAAACTATGGTATTTAGCCTACTATTTTATCTTTTGGCTGTGGCTAAAGACACACGTCTGCACTTAACTAGCTAAAAGTGTTTATTAAAGGAGCAAAATGTAATACTGACAGGAAGTGTTTAAAATGGGTACTGCAGTCCAAATTCAAAAGACTCAAAGCTCACATGGATTGCCAAGTTGAGGACACTGAACCTACATGCATGAGCACAACCTTAAACTTCAACAAGTTGACAAGTGACAACGAGTCCTACACCTTAAGTTGATCATCTAATGTGTATATGTGCAATATTTTAATTGTTTGAATTTATACACCAACTCGTGGATTTTTTATACCTCTGTCAATGTTAGCTAGAGGCATGGCTGGCTATGTATGGGAGCCAAAGCTAAGCCCATTGTCCTGAAAATAAAAGCCCACTGCTCCAAAAATACTCGCTGCCTCGAAGAAGCTGAAGTCATCTTCTTATTCGCCAGCTTCTTGTTCAAATTTTCCCTTCCCACCTTAAATTGTGCAGCACTTACATTCTGGCACCTCAGCCTATTCGCCAGCTTTTTGTTGGAATTTTCCTGTTCCACCTTAAGTGCCTCAGGTGCCAGAATGTAACTACTGCAACATTTAAGGTGAAATGGGGAAAAGACCAACAAACAGCTGGTAAACAGGAAACTAACATCAGCCTCGTCTGCCTTGATGACCCAGCTGCACACAGACCACAGAGTATGGAGCTACATAGAGTATGTAATCATGAGCTTTTTAGAAGGATGCAGAGACTTTTTAGCTCAAGATCCAGTTTGTTTGCTTGCTTCCATGACTTCAGCACACTGTGTTTGCCTGCCAATGTGTTTCATATCTGGCAATCTGGGGTGTTGAAATGGTACTGGGACATGGGCAGCGGGTGGGATCACAGGCCAAAACACAAGCAGACTTTCCGCTCCGGACGGAAATTTCAAAGGAGAACATATTAGCTGTACCACTTCTTTTAGAGAAGCCAGTATCTCTGATGACATATCATGTTCATTTTATGATTTGGTACAGTAATTAGATTACACATTGCTCCTTTAATATTGCTAATATTTGAGGCTCTAGTGTATTGCTTTGAATGTTTCATTTTTTAGTTAGTAAATTTTTCAGCTTAAAGCTAAATATTATAATAATATATAAAATATAAAGCTTCAGTATATTAGTGGAGGAGGCTGTTAGCCTGTTAGTAATCTACCATGCTGGTTAAAACAAAGCTATATTCTTACATAGGGTGTGTCTGGTATCATCTTTTGGGCTGAGACCAGGATGTCCACTGACCCTAGCATTGCCCCTGACCACCTATCATAAGCTGTTGTTTTTACTGTAAATGGAGGGTGGATCTCATTTTGGGCTTCCAAAGGTAAATATAGTTGTTTACTTGAAACAGATGTATAAAGTGTCATCAATAACACTGAATACCAAAATGCAAACTCACTATTAATACTTGTACTCTCTAAAGCTTCAGTTGTCAAAACTGTCTGAGAAAGCTGTTGAATATGCACCTCTGCACTGAGGCTATTAAAATAGCTATGTTAGTGAACTTTTAATCTCTCTGTGACAGCCTTGACCTTTCCCAGGCTGCAGGGTAGCCATAAAAACTCTTTAAAATTTAATAAGGCTGTAATTGAAGCATCTTTAAGTAGATGAGGACCGTTTTCTGCACAGCGCTGCCTTTTAGCTACAGATTCTTGAAAACCCATTCTGTAATTGGAACATCTCGTGCTGCATAATATTTTCCCTCAGCCGTACAGTTGGGGCTGTCTCATCCTGCTTTGAAATAGGTGATATGATTTCACAGTGATTTAGACTTAAGTGAAATGGAGAGCTGCAGAGCGGATGGTGATGATGGAAGGGATGATTGTGCTTCCGTTCCTTTAAACACAGCCTCTGGGTTTCTCTCTCTCTCTGTGGCAGGTAAGTTTTCTAACTTTCTTGAATTGCATTTGTTTTATGTCTTATTTTTTAATGTGACATCATTAAATTTGCCTTCAGCATATCATTATTGCAGTGGGTTAGGTGTTTCCACAGAAATTGATTCAGATGGATCTTTTCATGGAGTTATTTGGATGGATCTCTTCATGAGACAGCTAGTTAGTTGATTTATGAAAGATAAATTTAATTGAAACTACTTAAAAACTCGTTGAGGCGAGACACTACAGGCACATTTTGGTTCCTTCAGTCATTTTTCAGATTTTTGGATAAATCGCATCTGTAACATGCCTTATAATAGAATCATAAAAATGTCAAAACTTAACTGAAACATGTTTATTTCAGCATGTTTAGACAATTTGCATCACTCACATCTAATTGTAATAATAGCAGAAGAAATAACAAATTAATGGAGTTTCAGCTCCGCCCACACTTGGCACAAATACTTGAAATCATTGAAAAGCTTGTTTCCTGTAAAATCTAACTAGAATGTAAAAATACATCTATTTTCTTTGTAATAACAACAACGTTTACACAAATGGCGCATCTTCCCTGAGATCTCATTGGGTGTGCTTTTAAAAAGGATGATTCTTTGATAAAGATATATAGAAAAGAGTTCTGTATAGCACCAAAAAGGGTTCTGATATTGTTACGATGTCAAACTTGTAACAACACAGGAACCCTTTTTGGTGCTATACAGAACTATTTTCTATAAAGAGGGTTCTGATATTGTTACGATGTCAAACTTGTAACAACAGAAGAACCATTTTTGGTGCTATATAGAACCATTTCCAAAAAGGTTCTAAATAGAATCATACACAACACATTTTCCATCAGTCTGAAGAACCATTTCACCATGCAAAGAA